AAAACTTCTTAAATTTGGCAAGACACAAAATATAGCAGAATGCTGAGTTTAAAACGTCAGTCCCCAAAGGTCATTTATACAACATATATGAAATTGCAAAATTATAATGATGAAGGACAGATTAATAGTTCCCAGGGATGAAGGGGGGGATGGGAGCAGAGAGGAAATTAATATGGCTACAAAAGGACAACAGAAAGCACCCTTGTGGTGATAGAAATGTTCCATGCCTTGACTGAGTCAGCGTCAATATCCTGGTTGTGATATTGTACTATAGTTTTATGCCACTGGAGTAAACTGAGTAAAGGATACATATGACCTGCCTTAATTTTTAAAAATATGTGTGAATGTATAATAATCTCAAAATTTTGAAGTTTAATAATACATGTCAACAATATTAGTAATAGCAAGGTTATAGAGAATTGAAACTGTTTTCCATAATGATATAACCTCAAAAACAGCTTGGAAGTTTCTAATAAGGTAAGATATGCCTGTTCTATGGCCCAGTGATTCTACTACAACAATAAAACTTACATAAGAATGTTCAACAGTTTCATATATTCACAAAAAGACTTACATAAGAACATTTATAGCAGTTGTATTCATCATGGCCCCAAACTCGAAACAACACAATTCTATTACCAAAGAAGTATATAAACAAGATGGCATATTCATACAATGGAACAGTGTTCAACATAAGAAACAATAAAAATGTAGTGTATGATTTCATTAATATGAAATTCAAGAGAAAGCAAAACTAAGCTAAGGCAATAAAAATCAGAATAGTGGTTATCTCTAGGGGTAGGTATTGAGTGAAAAGAGGAATGAAATAATGCCTGGGTTGGTGGAAATATTCTGCATCTCGATTGGTGGAGGATTATTACACAGGGATGTGCATAACTAAACATTCACAAACATTTGATGAATGTTAGTGCACTTTACTGTATGTGTATTATGCCTCAATACAAAAACCAAAGAGATATACTGACGGAACTAAATATGGTGACAACACAAATACTGTATCTTTCCTAATATCAAGACCACCTAGGTTTCCCAGACATTTCTTATCTACTTTGCTGAAGGTCTTTCAGGCTTTTGAATCAATTTGAATAAAGTAACCACAGGCTTGTGCTTTGCTGTTGGGCATCAGAAAGCACTCAAGTCTCCTAATAATTTTATTTATGTATCAACCTATACCTATGAATGTTATAAAAAACATGAGTTCAACTCCACTGGGTCTGCATAGATTTCTCCCTTCATTATTTATTACTTTTCCCAACAGTGAGAAATCTGGCTATCATGATTCATGATCTATTATATGTTTTACCTATATACATTTGTTCAATCCAAATGCTCACATAAATTAGTTGAAGAATTGCTAACCCATACCCCTTGAGAAAAAATTTATTACCTACAGAATGGTATTTGTGTGCCATTCTTTTGCCTTTAGTCTTACAGTATCTACTCAAAATACTGTTTTCAAAAATTATTTAGGTTAGTTATTTTCTTCCACATTAAAGACAGTGTCACTGTGTTTACATTATTCACTATAATATTGTTGGATGCATTTGTTACAGTTTCTCTTTCTTTTGGGAATCCGCTCACATTCTAGTTATCAAAAAAATTTATACACTGTAAGATTTACTTTTTGTGGTACACAGGTCTCTGGTACAGTTCTCACCAACACTTTTATCTGTTTCTTATCTTTATAGTTTTGCTTCTACCCATATGTATTCATAATATAAATAAACTCACACAATATGTAGTCCTTTGGACTTAGTTTCTTTTATTTACCAAGACACATTGAAGATTCATCCATGTTGTTGCATAAGTCAATATTTCATTTCTTTTTATTGCTGAGTAGTACTCAGTCATATGGACGAACCACAATGTGTTTAACCCTTCTCCATTTGAAGGACATCTGGTCATTCCCAGGTTATAGTAATTATGAATTAAGCTTCTGTAAACATTCACATGCAAATTTTTGTGTGAACATAACTTTTATTTCTCTTGGCTAAATATGCAGGAAAGAGATTGATGAATCATATTGTAAGTGAAGTTTAACTTTATAAGAACTGCCAACGTGTCTTACAAAGTGCTGAGCATTTCTCTTTCCTATCACCAATGTATGAGAGTTCCAGTTGATGTGTAGCCTATCCAGTACTTGATATTCTCATATATTTAAACTTTATCCATTCTTATAGGTGAGCAGATGTAAGTTACTTAATATCTTGATGTTTTAATTTCTTTCTTTATAAGTTGGAAATTATAATACCTGCTTCATAAGATTGTTTTTAATCTTATCTCCTGTGAGTGAGCAAGAAAAGCAGAGATGTGGACTAATGGACCCCATAGTTGTAAAGGATAGAGAATCACTCTAATAACTCCAGACAGCATGGAGATACAGATCGGATGTGACGAGATAGAAAGAAAGAAAGAAAGAAAGAAAGAAAGAAAGAAAGAAAGAAAGAAAGAAAGAAAGAAAGGAAGGAAGGAAGGAAGGAAGGAAGGAAGGAAAGAAAGAAAAAAATAAAGATAAAAAGGTGCAAAGAAAACCATAATTAATGCCTTCTGAATGAGGTCTTTTATTTTATTTTTATTTTTTATTTTTATTTTTTTTTGAGACGGAGTCTCTCTCTGCCACCCAGGCTGGAGTGCGGTGACACGATCTATACTCATTGCAACCTTGAAGGAGATCTTTTAAGCAGATTCTACAGATGTGTTTTTGTACAGTAGTTAGGTGTAGTCTTTGCGAAAACCTTCAAAAAAAATCCTATGAAGAAAGGGTTTTGGAGGAAGAAGCCAAACACTTCAATCTGACACTAGAGTCAAATTGAAATTGTCAGTCCACCCTTGTTTCTGTACATGGTGTCTCCCAGACAGAACATGTTGGAGAATCAGAGGATGAGACCCCCTCATGTATGCTTAATAAAGGATACACTGGGAAGAAAAGAGAAACAATCAGTGAGGGAAACCAAGAAATATCGGACCGTACTCTCCTTAAATTTGGTAAAGAATCAAAATGAGACACTTAATTATACTGGTAAGGTGGTGTTTGTGGGTTTTTTTTTTTTTTTTTCCTTCTTATGTGAATCATCTCCGACAGCTGTTTTGATGGATGAAATCATTCCCCTACTGGCTGTAAAGGTCATTTTTTGATCTTTCCAGAATTATTTATGAGGCCTTTTATAATTCATGTCTGTTTTCTAGTGCTTGTGATTTTGTTAATTAGTATTTTTTTTTTTTTACTTTGGCATGATTGTAGCAGAAAAACATAGAAAATGTATGAAAGAAAAAAAGAGAAAGGAAGGAAAACTTCGTGGGAGAAATACCCACCTGCCCCGCCCCGCCAAAAAAAAGGGTAATAGTTTGAGAGGATCAGTGTGCAAAAGGGCCAAGGCTATGAAAGAAGAAGAGAAAATCATTTTTACAATAATTTTAATGTAACTGTTTTTGGCACAACTCTGAAATAGCCTTGGAAATGTGATAATGGATGAAAACAACTACTAAATAATTATGGTGCTCTTAGAAATCAACCTAAACATGAGTGTGCTGCCATCCATATTTTTCTATACATATATATATATGTTATTTTGTTTTATAAGTGGCATAGTACTATTTTGTATTTGACTTTTTTCATTCGATAAATTAAATTAATTCCTATGTTACAAAATTTTAATCACAATAATTTTATGGCTACAAAATGTTTTATTAAAAATGTGCAAAAGCTTTATTTGACTATTTAGCTGACCAGTCTCACTTGATTTTAATATTTAAACTCTCCAATACAGTTGTATTTTTTATCCTCTCTTTCCCAGGAGAAAAATCTTTGTAAGTACTGAGAAATAAAGTAATTGGTCAAATTAGTGAACACCCTTTGAAATCTGTGGCTAACTTTTCCCCGTAGTTAGACCAATGAACACGGCTACCAGAACTTGAATCATCAGCTTCATCTGGGCTTGGGGAATATAATTGCAGTCAGAAGAGTGAAAGAGAGACCATGCCTAACTCTCTTCATGGATCACCTTCCAGTTTCGTCTAAACTCCTCAGTTTAAAAAGAGCTGTCTTCACTCAGTTCTCTGGAAAGGTGGTTACCGCATGCATAATCTTTATGCTATGTTGGACTGCATTGCATTAAAGCAGATGAGTTTTACAGAGGTGACCCTTCAGGGACACCCTTCAGGTCGTAAACTTCTTTTAAGTTTTGTGTACGTAATGAAAAATGTTTAATTTTCAAATCTTCCACAATACAATTGAGCTAAAACCTTAAAGAAACTGCTTGGAAACCTCTGCTACCACCCAAACAGGGGTCCCAAACCCCCGGCGATGGGGAATCCGTAACCTTCTGTGGCCTGTTAGGAACCTGGCCGCAGAGCAGGAAGTGAGCGGCAGGTGAGCATTATTGCCTGAGATTCGCCTCCTGTGAGATCAGCAGCAGCATTAGATTCTCACAGGAGCCCGAACCCTACTGTGAACTGCGCATGCGAGGGATCTAGGCTGCTCTCTCCTTATGAGAATCTAACTAATGCCTGATGATCTGAGGTAAACAGTTACCCTCACGGTTAGGGGGATCCCTAAACCATCCCCCACCCTGCTCCGTGGAAAAATGGTCTTCAACAAAACTGGTCCCTGGTGCCAAAAATGTTGGGGACCACTGCACTGAAAGATGAATTCAGACGTTTTATATAAATATCTGTATCACAATTCATTAAAATCCACCGATTCTTGCTAAGACAATTCGAATTCTTTGAGACTCCTGTGTAGAAGAAAACCGGTAGTTAAGTTTTAGGAAATAAAACTGCTAAACGCTTCCAGGTCTTAACAGAGTGATTTCTACATGCATTCTTGCTGCCGTGGGGAGGAGTTGCTCGATATCCTCACAGACGTTGTGACTTTGGCTTTCTCTGGCTCCTGCTCTTTGGGGAGAGTAGGATGATCTGCTCCTGAAGACCCAGGGCAAGATTTGGAGACAGGCAGCAGGTGCTTGGGGAGCACTGTGCCCTGCGCAGAAGTAGGTTCCTACATCTGTAGTCTGGGTGGCTGTGATGTGCAGGGAGCTGTTCTTGTTTGCTTCTCCAAACTGAAATATCAGTCTTTTCTGCTTCTTCACTTCTCCACTCTTCACTAACATTATCAAAAAAACGGGATGTCCCCCAGGCCTTTGCTTATACCACTGTATATTGCTTAAAGTAGTTGAGGAATTGCAGTACGTGGTGAAGTCCTCTCCTTCTTGTACATGCTGGTACTGAGGAATTTGCATTATTTGTTGTCCATTCACCTCTGTTTAGAAAGACAATGGGAAGCATCACATAAAATCAGAGTAGATATTTAGTCCCTTAGCTACGCGAGTCTCTCTCACTTTTCTTTTCTTTTTTTCCCTTTCTGTCCATGTTTCCCTTCCCATCTCCCTCAACTTTTATTCTTTCTGTCTCTTTCTCTCTGTTTCTCTCCTTTTCTCTTAATTCTTGTTTTTCAAACAGAAAGTCCATTCCCTGCCTGCAGATACGTCTCTATCCTGTTGGATTTATTCTCTGGAAGCAGTCAGGGACATCTCAAACTCACGTGACAATTGCATCCATAAGACCAACACTGATGTGATGAGTAGCATCTCCCTCTCCTTCCTCTTCATCCAACTGCTCCAAAATGGGTTGCCTGATATAAGCTTCTTCCAGAGCAATAGAAATAGTTGCGGTCTATTTTGGAAAGCAGATGTGTGCATTTTGGAAAGAAAGGGGAGGTGACTGCAAGTTAAGAAAACCAATCGGACTATTTTGCCCACCCACTTCAGAGGTCAGTCTATGTTTGCCAATGCTGCCCCCTTCTGGTTGGACTCAAACATTGCTCATTTGACAACACATTCTTTTATTAATAAAGTTGCTTTGTAATTTAAGTGGTTTGTATGTGTGTCAAGGATTGGAAGGAAAGAGCTTACTGATAGTGACGTTGTTCAAGGAGAAATAATTTGCCTCTTAAAATGGAGTCTGTGATTTAAAACTAGGGCATCCAAAGAAAAGAGAAAGTTCCATTTTGTCACTTCCATCGTCATTAAGAATCACCTTGTGCCATGTAGCAGGTGCTTGTAAGTGCGCTAATGGGACATATTAGGTCACAGACATTTTAATAAATGTGGGAGACACTTGTGATTTATTGTTAGACAACCCATTACCTCAAAACAGAAGATAAGAAATACATATTTCTCTTTTGTCACCCAGATTTCCCTAGTAAACTATCCAATTTAGAGATCATATCTACCACCCCACTATGTTACTTTTACATATGCCAGCCGTGACGAGGGAAGACATTAATATAATTAGAAAAAATGTCTTATCTAACAGATAATCAATTTCTATAGGAAGGCTTCCATAAACAAAACACTTGGATAAAGTAGCTTTCTGTTCTGATCTGGCTGAGAAACATCTACAGTGTGTGGTGGAAAAGGTTAGAAGATAAAAACAGAAAGTAACTTAAAAAAGCTGCTGGCTCCCACAGAACTTCAGCCACACTTATCGCACTGTTTATACCTGTATGACCACTGATGAATTATCTGAGTTAGCCTTTTTGTACCTTGAAGGTGTGAACTGTATCATCTTCAAGAAATGCACTGTCTTATGTGGCAGCTACAAACCACATGAGGATACTTAAATTTAAATTAAATAAAATTTAAAATTTAATTTATCATGCACACTAGCCACATTTCAAGTGCTCAGTATTCATATGTGGCTAGTGTCTATGCAGATGCAGAACATATTTGCTATCTTTGAAAATTCTATTGGACAGTACTGCTCTAGAATGTAGGGTCTATGAAAACAATGAATTTTGTCTCTGGTTTGCTGATGGATCACTAGTATAAACCTGATATGTGGTAAGCCCTCGATAAGTATTTGTCTATTATTCACCAACACGTCCTACTCTGATAGCTGGTAAATTGTGGATACTTTGGTGTTCGTTAAATGACAAAAAAAAAAAATGTGTGTTTGTATATATATTGTGTCACAGTTTAAACTCAAAATGTTCCAAAAATATTAAAATATTTGAACCATATTCAATACCATATTCAAATGATATTGGTTGACCATGTGCCCTTCTATAAAACAATCAAGGTTTGGTTGTAGCTATTTAGAAATATTACCTTTAGGAGATACTAGTTTCCTAGAGTTGTCGTAGCCAACAAACTTGGTGACTTGAAAAAAATTTATTTTCTTTACAGCCCTAGAGACTAGAAGTCTGAAATTAAGGTGTCAGCAGGGCCGTGCTCCCTCTGAACGCTCTAGGGGAGAATCCTTCCTCATCTCTTCCAGCCTCCGGTGGCTCCAGGCATCCTTTGGATGTGGCTGCATAACTGCAACCTCTACTGCTGTCTTTAGATGGTCTTCTCGTCTGTGTGTTTCCTTTTTTTTTTTTTTCTGAGACAGAGTCTCAGTCTGTTACCCAGGCTGGAGTGCAGTGGCTCACTGCAACCTCCGCTTCCCGGTTTCAAGAGATTCTCCTGCCTCAGCCTCCTGAGTAGCTGTGATTACAGGTGCGCACCACCATGCCTGGCTAATTTTTGTATTTTCAGTAAAGACAGAGTTTCACCATGTTGGCCAGGCTAGTCTCGAACTCCTGACCTCAGGTGATTCGCCCACCTCGGCCTCCCAAAGTGCTGTGATTACAGGCATGAACCAATGTGCCCGGCCTCATCTGTGTGTTTCTTAAAAGAACAGTTGTCATTGGATTTAGGGCCTACCTGAATAATCCAGGGTGATCTTATCTTAATATTCTTAACTCAATTACATTTGCAAAGAACCTTTTTCAAATAAGCCCACATTCACTATTTCTAGGGATTAGGACATGGACGTATCTTCTGTCATCATTCAACCCACTGCAAGAAATCTAATGTCTTTAAAGTGTTGCCATGTAAATGTATTAACGGCGGAAATCTCAACAATTTGTGTAGGGTAAAAAGTGAATCAAAATCTGAATTACTGCATGAAATGGAAACAGACCAAGAAGCAGTTTTAGGATGTGCTGAAAAATGACAAATCTCGTGAATTAAGATAAATTTTTGAAATGCATGCCACTGGGATGCTTTTTTCCTCCTTAGGAATACTGGATTTGGATCTCAAAATGAAGACAAAGTTAACAATTTTAAGGCCATAAGAACTCCTGCCCCATTCAAGAAGAGCAAGGAGTGTGGAAGGAGCACCTGTGGGGGCTTTAGAAATCCTCTTCCTTCATCCAGGGCAGCAGCACTGGTGCAGTTTACGTAGGAGGTGTAAACCAAGACAGAGGAATCTCGCTCAGGTCAAGCTTGCCCTTTCCCAACTAGCAGCATGGCCTCTCTTGGAGCCTCTCTCTAGATCTTATGGTTGGAAGTGGAAATTTACTAAAGGAAGAGAAGGGAAGCTGGCCATGCATTGGTTCAAGGAGTAAAAGAAATCTCTGCACTTTTAGACAGAATCTCTGCATTTCCTTGCAGGAAACATTTCCATTGAATATAAACATCTGATAGCTCTCAGTGGCAAATATTTTTGTCAAAACAGTTGTAAGAGAGGATCAGATTAAAAAATATTTATAATAAGATGTTACAAGTGTTATTCTATGAAATCTCAGATAAAAAATAAAAAATGCTGCCTGAATTGGGCCATAAAAGGTGAGTAGACCTGTATGCATATTACAATGGGAAAAATATATTCTGGGAAAAGAGGACAGATTTAGGAAAGCCCTTAATATTCACATAAAGGGTTAGAATTTAAATATGCATATATAATATGTATAAAAAATATATTACATATATGAGAGAAGGATGGAAGATTAAAATAGAAGGTAAACGGAATTCTGTAGATGGCCTTGTATTTTTATTTTTATTTTTTTGAGACGGAGTCTTGCTCTGTCACCCAGGCTGAAGTGCAGTGGCATGATCTCAGCTCACTGCAAGCTCCACCTCCTGGGTTCAAGCAATTCTCCTGTCTCAGCCTCTCGAGTAGCTGGGATTACAAGAGCATACCACCACGCCTGGCTAATTTTTGTATTTTTAGTAGAGACAGGGTTTCACCATGTTGGTCAGGCTGGTCTCGAACTCCTGACCTCAGGTGATCCGCCTGTCTCAGCCTCACAAAGTGCTGGGATTACAGATACGAGCTACCACGCCTGACAAGCCTTGTATGTTTTAGTATAGAGTTTCAACTTTATAACTTCTAATGGTTCCTCATTATCCACAGGGGGGCAGGAAATGATCTTATTAAATACATTTTATAATGACTCTAGCTGCCATGTAGAAGTTAGATTCAAAGAGTTGAGACTAGAGGCAGGAAGACAATTAGGAAGTCATTGCAATCATCCAAGTGAGAGATGCTGAATGTCTGAATTAGGAAACCAGTAATATCGAAATAAAGAAACAGATATGTGCAGTATTTGGAAGTTCAAACTGACATGACCTTGATAATTACTGGACTATCAAGGTCGTGTGTTATGCTTCATTAGGACTCTGATATCTATCTGGCATAGGAGCATGTTTACTTAGTTAGCTCTTGTGGGAGTTAGTATCCAAAGATGCCCCCAAAATCCTGCTTCTGATATTCATGCCCTTGTGTAGTTCCCTTCCATGTTGAGTCTGGGCTGGCTCCAGACTCAGTTTTAATTATATTTACAGAGGCCCCTTTTCCAAGTAACGTCACATTCATGGTTCTTATGTGTGCATGAGAATGCAGTAGAAATAATATTGTGGCAGTTCTGGCCTAAACATTAAAAATGCCTGGCACCTTCCACTTTTGTAATATTGGAAGCCCTGAGCCACCAGGTAAGTTGTACCCTAGAGAGATCTTGAGGAGAGACCACATGCAGAGGCCATGTGTAATGAAAGCCCTGAGAATAGTTGGGATGAGAGATGAGCCCAGCCTTCCACATTCCCACCAAAGCTCCGGATACGGCAGTGAGCTCCAGGGGTTCTAGTCAGGCAAGCCCCCAGAGGACCCTAGCTGCAGTCAACATCACAAGGAGCAGAAGTGTCATGAGATAGTAAAATGGCACTTGCTTAAGTGAGTTGTAGACTAGTTGGTTATTCAGCAAGCCACAAAAGCACTGGAGACCAATGAAAAATAGTCTTTTTGAGAACTTGTGAGAAATCAACAATAAAAATGTACGCTTCCTCTGTCTGATCTCTGCTAGTCTCTAATAGCTTGACCTGAAGCATCTGCCGGTTTCACCAAACTTCTTTTCCAAAGCCATCCTTGTGCTTCTGCACTGGCACAGAAGACCTGGTGACAATGATCAGAGCTAACAAGAGCTCTGTGCTACCACAGCACAGGAGCACGTGGCTGATTGCTCAGGTTGGGGCCCTGCAATCAACAGATATCTGTGTCTCTCATTTAACATGATTTTTATATTTCACTCACTCTTCTCATTCCATGTGGCTAAACTAACAAAATTTACAAGAACATGCCTGTCTGTGTCTCTATAAATAATCAGAATTTAACACATTATTTTCAATTGCAGATCAGTTTTAGAATCCAAAGAGACGGAAAATTTTGGTCCATATTTATTTGGTTACATACAGCTTTCATAAAGATAGGGATATTTTTGTAAGGACCGTGCACTACAGATTTACATTTTTCTTGATCGTGTGTGTAGGAAGATCTCTATCTCATCGTGGCTTAAGGCAGGCAGAGTTCTCAAGGAAGCTGGAGTCATAGGCTGGTTTCAAGCAGCATCATTCCACACTGAAGTGTGGTATGAATGTAATTAATTTCTATACGTGCTTTGACATGCAGGAGACTGTGAGGC